GAACTTGTAATAACTTTTAACTTGATAAATAAGGGATGTCTTACAATACAAACAGCACACTGAGCATCACAAGAGCCAGTGGTTCCTCTGTCTGTCTGTCTGTCTGTCTCTCTCTCTCTCTCTCTCTCTCTCTCTCTCTCTCTGTCTCTGCCCCCACCTTGCAGGATTATGGGTGATCATCTCCCAACAACAGGTTACAGAGGAGATCTCAGCTGCAGGGAAGGCAAGGAAAAGATGGAAGACTCTCTCACCACATGAAATTAACCAGTAGTTAGTAATGATTCCATTAGTGACAGTGAAGGTCATCTTACACAATAATTCTCTCATCTCCCTCAAAGGTAAGTTCAGGTTAATTTGTTTATTTTTTTCTTGTATTTTATTTTTTACTATTTTGTATTATATTATAGTATTACAATAGTTTTTATATGAATATTTTGGGGTTGTGGAACAAAACATCTGAAGTTCCATTATTTCTTATCAGGAAATTTGCATTGATATATAAGTACTTTGGATTATAAACTTGTTTCTGCAATGAATTACACTTGCAAACCAAGCTTTTACTATATATTTTTTACATATCTGCATGTATGTGTATATATATATGAAATAATTCATAATTTTTTCTGATAATAAAATATAGCAATGTATGCACATGACAGAAGATTTATATAATTTCATAAAAATATAAGAAATAACATGAAGTCACCCATTAATCAGGTAATGATATATTTTCAAAATGATTTATGAATGAGTAAAGTCAGGACAAGTAGTTAGTAATAGACAATACATAGCACGTGCACAATGAAATTCTGAGTTTGGAAGAGTTCCCACAATCAGGGTTGATTAGGTAAGGATTCAAATTGATTCAATGACTGAATTACTCTGGCAGGTTTGCATATCAGATTAAGTTATGCCACAATAACTAAACATACCACTATCCTGGACATAATCATTCCCAGAGACTCTGATACTAGGCCAAGCAAGCAATATGGATCTCAATATCAGCTCTGTGAATGAGAACAATGTGCTGGGGCTTAGCCATTGTTTGGCATTGAACCATGAGAGGAGGTTGCTCCCCTCCCAGCTATGTTTTCTAAGCTGCTGTTCCTTTAATCGCAGGTTGTCCGGAGAAACAAAAGCTCTCTCCCAGGGGATTATGATCTTTCCAACTGTACACCTGAGACTCAGGGCCATAACAGCATAGATCCACCAAAAGAAGAGAAGGAAAGAGCTGATTTTCCAGCAAATACAGAGCTGAGTCCATGTGGAAAAGGTGAGGCTTTTCTGAGTCAATGATACCATTCTCTGTAAAGGTACATTCATATGGCAACATAAAGGTGAATGGACAACGGCAAGCAAAGAGATGTATTGACTTGTCCTAATATTACTGCAGACCTAACCCAGGTAATGGTCCCTCTGACAGGAAAATGGACTGTTCTCCCACTTGAAGATTGGTGGGAATGTGGAAAAATTATGGAACAGTATATCCTTACATTAGTTGTAGAGATAACAAAGGTGGGCTGAAATTTCTGCTGCTTGCTTAAGTGAATGTCTTTGGTAAACTATAATACTTGCCTCTTAGTGCCTTTATTACCTTATACGGAAAATAAAATAATTTCATTTTGCTGCCGAGTGACTGAAAATGTGCCATTACAGGGAAGTCTGCAATGAGTGCCTACCAATTGCTCAAATTTATTTTTCATTGCTAAAGTTTCTTTTAACACACTGGAATTAAGATTTTAGAAAATACTTATTCCAACTCTCATCGCACACAAATTTCTTCAAAGATATGTTTTGAGTTAAAACAGTTAGTTACCTTCAGATTTGGCCTTAGAATCATATGAACTTCTCACAGAATCTCAGGACAGAGAATGGCGGATCCTCAGACTTTTATAATCTCCTGAAAGGCCTAGCTGTGCCAAATCCACTCTAAAGTCAGAGGCAAATCAAAGAAATTAGAAAAAAATTTATTTTGGTGAATAAATTTTGAAGTATAATTTTAAAAATCTTACTTTGTAATATATTGGTTTGTATTGGAGGAGGTTGTTTTGTCTTAGGTACTGGAAGTCAAATTTACAACCTCTCACTTGCTAGGCAGGTAGTCTGTAGCCGTGCTACATCACCAGCCCTATTGCTTTGTATTTCATTACTATTCATTGCACTTGTGTATGTGGATACTTCATTTTGCTTACACATAAAACATAATTCAGATTACAGCTATTTGCAGTATGTAATTTTAGAGTTGTTGGCATGCTATCTGGTGATTTTTTAAGTTGTTGAAAATTTGTCTCTGGAAATATGAGAAATGAAAACAACCCATCAAAAATCACTATTAATTTGGAGAGATTTGCATTATAAACTATTATATTCTCTGTACTACTCTTAGGAGGTAAGAGCATTCTAGGTATCCCATATTGTGGAAGTCTTTTCAGTCCATCATTAAATGGAGTAAGGAACAGTTGAAATGACACTAGTGAAGGCTACTGTGATTTAGACTGGTGGGAGCTAAAGGTAGCCTCAAGGTCATAATACATAATGATATGGCATTGAAGCAAATAAATAAATGCTGGTGGTTACAGTAGCTTTTCTTTTGATATGTCAAATAGACAAAGACTTCCTCTACAAATAAGTTTGATTTTTTAAAATTATTTATTTATTTATTTATTTTGTGCGCGTGTGTGTGTGTGTGTGTGTGGCCAGTTCAGCCCACCGGGGGCGGGGCTAGCTGGCATGTGGTGCTGGGGATTGAACTGTGGTCCTTGTGCTTTGTTAAGCTTGTTCTAAGTAGGTGCTTTAGACCACTAAGCCATCTCACCAGCCCAATAAGTTTGATTTTTAACATGCAACATTTATTGAGTTCTAGTCATGTACTAGACATCAAGAAAAGGTATTCACATAAATGCCACAAGTAGCCAGTGAAAAAGGTAATATCATTACTCTCACTACAGAGATGAAAATGAAAGTTGGAGAGGTTAGGCAATTTGGCATAGTCATCCAGAGAAACAACTAAGGATCCAAGTGTGTGTGTTTAGGAGAGGGATGAGGATCTCACTTAAGAGATGGGATGCTAAATCGTGAGCATGGCCGATTCTGCTTCTCCTTTTCCTTTCTTCTTTACTTGTGATACCTCTATCACACTTCCAGAAAATCTACCAGGAGAATCATAATTCCTCTTTCCATCTTGACATATCTGAGCTTAATATCAACAATACTGGCAGACAGAACTCTTTTGGGCTACTTTATTTATTTTCATTTTTGGCAGAATCGGGGATTGACCGCAGGCCCTTGAGTTTGTCAGGCAAGCGCTTATTCTACTGAGCCATCTCCCTGGCCCCGTCTTTTGGGCTACTGTAAACTGCATTTGCACAGGATGGACTTGATAAAGCACCATCCTGAGCAACAAACATGGCTTGGCAACAACAAAGAGAGGATGGTACATCTTGTAGCCTTTGTTCTGCTGTTGTTATCTCCATTGTGGTTACCCAGACACATTTTCATCTCCAGATTTTTCCACTGTATCCGCACAAATTAACTAACGTGTGTAGGACTAAAGTGTAAGAAGGTGAGGGTATTTACAATCTATAAGAAACTTTTATTGAAGAAGGCAGCACAAAGGGGGCTGAAGAGCAGAGAAGTTGAATAGCCAAGCTCTGAAGACAGACACAGAGGCTCAAAGCTTGACTCAGCCACCATGACCTGGATGACCTTGGATGAGTTCCTTAGGTGTACTTGAGCCTCAGTGTCTTCTTCTAAACATGAAAGTGATAGTAGTACCCATCTCACAGGCTGATCATGAATATTGAGTGATATCGAAGGTAAAGTGTTGGCTTCTGGGAAGAACTTCGTGAAAACTGTATTTTATTATTGGCTAGGTGTCATATTTAGTGCTAAGAATGTAATACTCATATCACCTAGCTAGATTGGAGATAAAGCACATATATAAAAATGATAACTAGCAATATAAGGTAGACCACTCTTGTCTGAATAGTATAATTGCAAGTTATAGAAATTTCACAGAAGTGATGATGCAATTAGAAGAAAAGTTAGATTACAGATTGGAATCCAGAAAGTGTTGGTGACTTTGCCAATGTCACAAGGTAGTTTTGAAAAAGTAAAGAGCAAAATCTGGGTCTCCTCACTTAAGCTGTATGAAACTGAGCCACACTAGTACTAATAAAATTACCTTAAAATAGCAGCATTAAAAACTGAAGACACCTTTTATAACATAGGCATTATTACATTTAATCTTCAAATAATCATAGAGGGAGGTATTATATTTTTGTTGTTTCATAGGTAAAAACATTGAGGTACAGGCAAATATGTAATTTCCCCAAAGTTCTGCATCCAGGATTAAAGTGAAGGTTTCTAGTCTACTTTAATGGATATTTGAAGGGGTGAGGAGGGCAGGGTAGCTTGAATCAAAGAGGATGGTAAGCTCAACTGCAGTGATGGAAATTAACCTCCATGAAAATTGAATGGGCTGCTTTAACTGGAAGAGAAAATTGTAGCAGAAGAATTAGAAAAGGATAGAAGCAAATGGAAGGAGCTCTTGAATGCCGACCCAGGCAGCATATGCTCTGTTCATAGTTTTCCTGAGGTGAAGGTAGAGACGGAAGATAAGAACTTGACAATCATAGCACTTTAGGTTTTTTTTTTTTTTTTTTTAACTGGGGATCGAACTCAGGTCCTTGAGCTTGCCAGGGAAGCGCTTATTCCACTGAACCATCTCCCCAGCCCCTGTTTTTTTTGTTTTTTGTTTTTTTTTTAATACTGATCTGGTCATGGAGAGAATGAAGGGAACAGTTCATTGGGAGGGAGAACAGTCCATGGCTAACAGCGGTAGCAAAGGGATGGGGTCCTTTTCAGGAGTTCCTCAACTTGCCAGGGATATGCAGCCCTGAGGCCATTTCCAAATCTCTGGCTGACACTCTCCACCCATCCCTCCCCACAGGCTCTGGTACTTACATGTCCCTACTAGTAGACAAAGTCCTCTGGGAACCATGAAGAGTTTTTTCCAGCTGTTTAGATTCATCTGGTTTACCAAGCCACCCATCCGGTCCTTTCACAGACATCACCAGCTTTGGACAGCTATGACTCCTGCAGACTTTGAAGCCATAAATCGTTGCGACAGGCCACTACCTAAGAACTTTAATTTTGCAGGGGATGTGCTGGACCAGTGGTCCCAAAAGGAGAAGGTATGAAATAATGGAATTCATTTAGATTCCTTCTATACTCTGGTGTCCACTCATCAATTTCAGTTCCAATCTTTCACCCACCTTGCTTTCCTCTGTCTTCCAGTCACCCTCCTCTCTCCCAGAGATATTAGGTCCTCAACTGCACATGGCTTTCTCTGGCATCTCCAAGTCTTTTTCCTCTCCAACCCCAGTTCCTACTGTGGTTACTCCCAGAATGACGCTCCCTTCCTTCTGTTCTCTCTGTTCCAGACGACGCTTTGGGTTTGGGATGCTTACAGGCATGTGCCAAAATGTAGTAATTTAACTATAGCTGTATGAATATAGCTATTATTGGAACAACTGCATGAGAATCAAAACTTGAGAAGAAAGCAAGTGTAAATGCTTGATGCGCAATCTGAGAAAGAAGTTAATGCTTCCTGCTCCCGTCCCAGACTAGGCACTGGGCTAAGCACCTGTCAGCACTTACCAAGATGCTCTGCAGGGCCCATGGTTCAATAGATTAATCCTTCCTAAGTATAGGGGGAAAGTCTTATCTGAAAGTCACTGTGTTCTTAATACATACCACTTGCCAAATTCTGTTTTGAACAGAGAGCTTCAACTTCTGTTGATGATGACTTTTAGATAAAACAGAAGGATATCGTTTTGCTTTTATTAAACAACTTTCTGTAACCTGTTAACAAGTGGTACTGACTTTCCAATCATAGTGGTGCTTAAATGCAGTCTTCTTCTTAAGTAAAAGTTTGTAAGTGAGTTGATGTAAAGACAAAGAACAATAGCACAAGTGTAGGCAGATCTGCTAGAAACAGTGATATTCAGATTAAATATTGGGAAAAATCAAATATTTGATGAACCTGCATTAGTTCATCAAACCCTTATAACCACTCTTGTTGGGTGTTTAGATAAGGAATTTAATCTCATAGAAGCTAAGCTACTATTCTAAGATCACATACCTCTTAGAAAACACTGTGAGCCAAGTCCACATCTTTAGAGGCTCACGTCTTTAGTGGAGGGCCATACCCATAATATTGTGCTATGGAGTAGAATGGAGTCACCCAGAATATGTGCACAACACTGAAAGAATGCAGAGATGTCACTGGGAAAGGAGGAGGGGCTAAAAAGACAAAGTGGAATGTAAATTGAGTTTTGAAATATTTTACAATCAAGAAAAATAGAGGAAGCATTCCAGATGGGGGAAGGAAATAAATTCTTTTCCAAGTGATACATAAATAAAGAGGTTTTGTAGTGCAGGTGACTCATTTTATAGAATGATAAGTGAGGTTTCCTCCAATTGATGCCTCTTTCCACTTTGCTCCTCACAACCTGTGAAACCCACAGCTCAGCCGTTAGGCACAAGATATATTATCAGATTCCTAATTAAACTTAGTACTCTCCTTGTGGTCATTTAGGTGGAAGAAAATCTAACTTAAACAAGAAAGAAGTTGATTAGAAAAACTGGGAAGACCTTACAGAGTTACTGTAGAAGCTGGAGAGTGAATCTCAGTGAGGACAGAAAGGACTAGGATAGCTCCCTGGGGTGCGCAAGTACCAAGACCTCATAGACGATTTTTGCTCCAACCATTTAAATTTTTTGTTCCCTTCAGAAAACTCAAAGTCTTGGGCCAGCAAGATAATTCAGGGGACTAAAGCACCTGCTTAAGCAAGATGTACCAGCTCTGTCCCCAGGGCAGGCTGAGCCAGCCACAAAGTTAGGGCATAGTGGTGTACCCCTGTAATTCCAGCCCTGGGAAGGCTGAAAACAGGAGGATCACTATGAGGCCAAGCTGTGTAGTGAGACCTTGTAACAACCAAAAACATTAAAAAAAGAAAGAAAGAAAAAGAAAAGAAAACTCAAAGTCTGATTGACCCAACTCTGGTCACATGCTCACACACCATTCTGAGAAGGGCAAGCACCTGGCAAGACTGTGTTCAGTAGGAAAGGATCAGTTTCTCCAAAAACAGACTGGGGTGCTCTTCTAGAATGCAAAAGAACAGGTGCTGAGGAGAGGTAATGGCAGATATTACATAAACCCTGTGTTAGTGAGCTCTCCATTTATGTAATGAAATACTGGAGACAATTTTTATTTTTAAGGTTTTTTTTTTTTTTTTTTAATGTGTGCGTGGGGGGGGGCAGCTCAGCCCACCAGGGGGCGGGGCTGGCTGGCATGTGGTCCTGGGGGATTGAACCAAGGTCCCTGTGCTCTGCTAAGCTTGTTCTAAGTAGGCTTTAGACCACTGAGCCATCTCACCAGCCCGACAAACGATTTAAAAGGAGGAAAAGTTTACTTTGGCACAGTTTCAGTTTTCACTCCTTTGTCCTTGGCCCCTTGGCCTCTTGCCCTGGGCCTGTGGCAGTACCGTACATCACGGCAGGAGCCCATGTTGGATGTCTGTTCACTTTGGGGTAACCAGGAAGCAAAAAGCAAGAGAGAAGAAAGGGGGCATAGTACCAACAGCCTTTTCAAAAGTACGCTCCCAAAAGCTAACTTCCTTCCCCTAGGTCCCATGTCCTGAAGATTCTACAGGCCTTGGATACAGGGGTCTTTGGGGGGTACTTCCAAATCACAGCACCTTCTCTTCTTTTTCTCATGTGTCCCTGGTCAGACAGGGGAGAGGCCAGCCAACCCAGCCCTGTGGTGGGTGAATGGCAAAGGAGATGAAGTGAAATGGAGCTTCAGAGAACTGAGCTCTTTGTCCAAAAAGGCCGCCAACGTGTTCACCAAGTCCTGTGGCTTACAAAGAGGAGATCGAGTGATCGTGATTCTACCCCGAATCCCTGAATGGTGGCTCATCAATGTGGCTTGCATGCGAACAGGTTAGTGCTAATGCTTAGCATTTGTAAATCATGCAGAAACAAAAAGAGACCAAATTTCAAAGCACTCTTTGAAATATTACCTTTTTTTTTTTTTTTTTTTTTAAAAAAAAGCAGTACTTACAAGGAAAGAAAAAGAAGAGTTGAAGAGAAATCATGATGTAATAATTGCTATCTCAAGAACTCAGTATTATTGTAATAACTAATAGGTGGGGAAACCAAGAAGAGAGATTATGAAGTTTGCCAAAAGTCAAACAGCTAGGAAGCTACCGAATTAGGATCAAACATAAAGCTCTATAAGGCACATATGGGTATGAATGCTTCTTTGCAGCACTCTGGGAGGCTGAGGCATGTGGATCCAAGTTAGAGTTCAGCCTAGGCAACTTAGCAACTTAGAGCCTGTCTCAAAATTTTTAAAATGTAGAAAGGGTTAGGGATGTGAAGGCTCTGGTTTCAATACCCAGTATGATTAAAAAATAATAATATGTTAACTACACATTTTCTCCCAAAATAACAATATGAGGTACTCTAAAAACAGACACTGCCTTAAAGGCAGGAGTCAGCAAACCAGAGCCCATGGGATTTTATAGATAGAGTTGATGAAATACAGCCATGTTCATTCTTTTATCCATTAACTATAACTTCTTTGTTCTATAACAGCAGAAATTCTCTAAGGTTCTCACAATATTCACTGTCTTGTTCTTTACTAAAGATGTTTGACAGTCTCTGCTCTAAAGTACAGATTATTATATATCAATAAAAATAAATAAGAATAGGGGCTGGAGAGATGGCTCAGTGGTCTAAAGCACCTACTTGGAACAAGCTTAGCAAAAGCATCAGGGACCGCGGTTCAATCCCCCAGCACCACATGCCAGCCAGCCCTGCCCCCTGGTGGGCTGAGCTGGCCTCTCCCTCTCTCTCTCTCTCTCTCTCTCTCTCTCTCTCTCAAATAAATAAATAAATAAATAAGAATACCAAAGGATAGGTTACTATAGAGAACACAAAGATATTTGCTGCAATATCACTAACAATATAAAAAAATTGAACAAAAATATAAATAGAAATGATCAGATAAGTTATAAGTTAAAATGTAAGCGTAGTTACGATATGTTTATTTTCTTTCTTTCTTTCTTTCTTTCTTTATTTTTTTTGTGGAACCAGGGATTGAACTCAGGCCTTTGTGCTTGCCAGGCAAGCACTTATTCTACTGAGCCATCTCCCCGGCCCCTTTATTTTATTTTTGACTCAAGCTTTCACTGTGTAGTTCAGGCTGTCCTTGAATGTACAATGTATCCGATGCTGACCTTAAACTTGCAGTGGTCCTCCTATCTCAGCCTCTCAATGGCTAGGATAACAGGCATGTGCCACCCTGCCTGACAATGTATTTATTGTTGATCAAAACTCTTGTACCCCCACTTGACGGTACTTAAGGATAATTTATAAGAAGGATTGAACTCAGGCCCTTGTGCTTGCCAGGGAAGCGCTTATTCCACTGAGCCATCTCACCGCCCCCCCCATCCAACTTCTTCATCTTCACATATTTATTCATTTTTTTCAAAAGGGGACAACATGTAAGAGCTTTTAAAATATATTTAATAAAATAAAGACTTCCTAGGAATTCAACTCCACATCTTGGTATTTAGCTTACTTCAAGAAACTCACCAAGAAATAAGTAGTCTGGAAATAAAACACAAGTCTGGGGCCTGGGAAATGTATCTCTGAGGCCTGGCTCTGTCACTTACTGGCTTTATAACCTTGGATGAAGTTGACATATTCTAGAATTAATTTTAAGTGAGGAGATAACCAGGCACATAGTAGGTGCTCAAAAAATGATAGTGCCAAGCCAGGCATAGTAGTATACGTGTGTAGTCATAGCACTCTGGTAGGCTGATGCAGGAGAATTACAAAACCAAGCCTAGCCTATACAGCTAACATAACAGGATCCTCTCTCAAAATAAAAAATAAGACAAAAAAAAAAAAAACCAAAACAAAACAAAACAAAAAAACAAAAACAAAAAAAAAGACAAAAATTAAAAAGGGATGGGGAACACAAAGGCCCAGGTTTAATGCCTAGTCACACACACATGAAAAGGTGGTAGTAGTTGCCTGTAAGACTTCATATGCCATTTTTTTCCATTGATTCAGTTGAGAAAGTGCAAACTGCTTTCTCTCTGTCTTACATCTATTTCTGCCATGTGTGCTCTCCTCATAAGGACCTGGCATTTTGAAATCCATGACTATTTAGGATGAAGTCATGAGTAGAGATAAGTCAAGCATTGCCGTAAACCTCAAAAAGAATGTCAGACCACTGAAGTCCAGAGATCCAGAGGGCTGGCTGCTTCACTCACAAGCTGTAAACAAATCTCATACCCCATCAAATGGCAACAAAGGCATTGATCTACTGGGATTGCTTAAAACTCTAGTTGCCAGGCAACTATATAGCCTATATAGTTCATCAATATGGACAGGGAATATTAATCATCAAAAAAATGTCTAGGACACTAATCTTCCTATCTGGGTATAGGTTTTTATACTGTTATATGGTACTAATATAATATGTATATTATAAAACATACATTAAAAGGAGAAAATTATAAAAAGAATTCTAAGATCTCAATGGACTGTCTTACAAAACTCACTTTGGACACTACTGTTTGAGAGTACTGAATAAGATAATGTTCATAAAAATGTGATGTAAGATGATAAGTGCCAGGGCTGGGGAGATAGATAGCTCAGTGGCATAAGTGCCTGCCTGGCAAGTGCAAGGTCGAGTTTGATCCCCAGTACTAAAAAAAAAAAAGCCAAGTGCCATTTAATTGTTACATAATATTGATTCAAATATTATATTAAAATGTTACATAATAACTGCCCATTATTATAATGCTTCCCAAATGCCAGACACTATCATTATCCCCATTTTACAGATAAAGAAAGTACAGAGACATCAAAGTCAGAAAGCTGGTAAACTGCAGGGCCAGGATTATAACCAAGGTCTGTCAGACTTCAAAGCCAATGATCAAAGTCCTGGGCAATGTCCCCAAGGGACCAAGGCAAGAATTGCTGAAGGTGACATTTTGAAGCATCTTCCCCCAGGCTCACAGCGCAACTTCCCACAGTCCACAGAGTCATCACACCTAATGCACAATCATTCTGCTCAGCTCAGGATCCTCTGTCTTTCCCAGGGCTTGTTTTCATCCCAGGAACCATTCAGCTGACAGCCAAAGACATCCTCTACCGGCTACAAGCTTCCAAAGCCAAGTGCATTGTGATCAGTGAGGAGGTGGCCCCGGTGGTGGAATCCGTCCTATCTGAGTGTCCAAACCTGAAGAACAAAGTCCTGGTGTCTGCACACAGCTGGAATGGTTGGCTCAGCTTCCAGGAGTTATTTCAGTAAGTGTTTTCCCCATCTTAGGTACAGCACTAGAAACAAATTGCAGCTCCATCTCAGACTTTCTTTGCCTTGAACGACTCAGCAACAGTGTGTGCTGATCTGGGCTTCTTCCCAGAAAGGAATTACCTAATGATTCATAGCACAAGAAAGAACTCTCACTCCACCCCCATTTTTCTTTTTCTCTCTATGTGCCATGATTAGTATCCTGCACAACTTGACCCTTGCCCCTTGACCCTTGACCCTAGCTCCTGAACTTCCTGTTACCATTCTTCCTTGTATTCCTCAAATATTCCCTCCCTCTGGGCCTTTGCACCTGCTCTTTCTTCTGGTTGGAATGTTCTGCTCTAGTCTTTCCACAGTTGACTCTTTCCTACCTGATTTCTTTTCAAATATTTTACCCTAACTGAGGCTTTCCCTGCCCAGCCTAACCAAAGCAAAACTATAAGCCATTCTTTCATAACATCTATTTAATTTCTTTATAGAATTTGTGAGTATCTAAATTTGTCAGTCCATCCATCTGTACCCGTGTTCTTCTCTTCTGGAGTAGGAGTGAAATTATTAAGGTCCGTAGGCCAATTCTATCCCCCTAATTGTATTTTTAAAATAAAATTTTATTGAAATTCACCCATGCCCATTTCTTTACATATAGATTCTGGTTGCTTTTATGCTTCACAGCAACAGAAAGTAGTTACAACAAAGACAGTATGGCCATAAAGCTTAAAATCTTGTTTCTGACATTTATAGAAAAGGTTTTCTTGGGGCTGGGAGATGGCTCAGTGGAATAAGCGCTTCCTTGGCAAGTTCAAGGACCTGAGTTCAATCCCCAGTTCTGCCAAAAAAAAAAAAAAAAAAAAAAAAAAAAAAAAAAAAAAAAAAAAAAAGGTTTTTTTTTTTTTTTTTTTTTTTTTTTTTTTTTGACAGGGTCTACAGGATCTCACTAACTAGATTGGACTCACAGTGATTCTCCTGTTTTCAGCTTTCTAAGTGCTGGGATTACAGGTGCGCCACCACACCGTCCCAGTGTTTGGGAGGCTAAAAACAGGAGGATCACTATGAGTCCAATCTATGTAATGAGACCCTGTAGACCCTGTACTAAATACATTTTTTAAAAAGACCAACATGGAACACACAGTGAAATGCTGCTCAAAAAATACTTTTATTCTTTTGAGGTTTATATATTGTATTTTTTATTTCCCTGATTGAAAGATACACTGAGGAGTTTAAGGTTTTAAGAAGAGATGTGTCAAGATCAGGTTTTGGATTTCTTGGCAGAACTGGGGATTGAACTCAGGCCCTTGTGCTTGCCAGGGAAGCACTTATTCCACTGAGCCATCTCCCAAGCCCCTTGGATATTATATTTCTTCAGAAGCTGTGCAGAAATGAATTTGAGGAAACCAAATGAGTCAGAGAGAACACTTTAGAGACTAATTTACAGGAGCGATAATGGTGATTTAAATCTGAGCTTTAGTGAGTGAGGCAAGATGAACTAAAGGTTGGTTAATTTAGAAGCTAACATGAACCCCAATTCATTTATCTTTTATCATGTTATCCTTGGTATGATCCAAACATGGAAAGGGAAGTTTCAAACATGTGTACTTGCACAGTATTCAAAGGCCATAATATAGGATGGAGTAGGAGAGAGTAGCACCTTCTCTTCATTACTCTTTTTAGAACAGGGACATATTTCCCATTAAGGCCTTACATCTCATTAACCATAACTTCCTAAACCCATTATTGTTACAAGAGGAAATGACCATGAGCTGGCCAAATAGCTCAGCGAATTAAAGCACCTGCAAGCAGGCGCAGGGGTCAGGGGTTCGATCCCCAGGCCTGCTGTGCTGGCCCCACCCCCAGGGCGCGCTGAGATGGCAACTGATGCTGGGCATGGTGGTGCGCGCCTGTAATCCCAGCTATTGGGAGGCTGTAAACAGGAGGATCACTAAGAGTCTGATCTAGTAGTGAGACCCTGAACACCCTGTAGGCCCTTCCCTAAAATACAAAAAAAGAAAAAGAATCAAAAGTTGTCTTGGCTATGTATTTGGCCCATCAGTTCAGTTCTATTATTGACTATCTTCTGGTAACAAAAGAATACAAATAGCACAGCAAAAAATATATCAGTGTTAAACTGCTCTGTCATCTTCAGTCACTATTAGGGTCTATTTTGCAGATCGGCCTCTGAAGAGCACAGCTGTGTGGAGACCGGAAGTCAAGAACCAATGGCCATTTATTTCACCAGTGGAACCACAGGCTTCCCTAAGATGGCTCAGCACTCTCAGAGCAGCCTTGGCATTGGATATGCCCTCTGCGGGAGGTAGGGAGAAAAACTCAGTTTGCTTTTGATGAACGCTTCCTTGAGCTGCCTATGTTTGTATCTAACTGCCCAAGTGACATTTCTCCTTGAATGGCTATATTTCCAATTATAAAATCTATAAAACAGAACCCTTGAGATTTCTGCCCTATTCTAACTTATTAATGGCATCATCTAATGAATGATCACACGAGAGATTAGGATTTCACCTTGATTTAATTCTGTAGAAGCATGTCTTGCTTCTTCTCCTCATTGTGAGGTAAACATTCCTACCCAGAAGGGCCTTCTTAAAAGAAAGGTTATCTAAAACTGTCACATTATCCTGATTTATTTTTTGCATAGCACTTACTGCTACTTGACATGATGGTATTTGCTTATATACTTAATTAACATTATTGAGTGTATATTCCCTTCCTGTAAGACTAAAGAGCTAGTCAGTCTTGTTCACCATAAGCCTAATACAACATTTGCTCAGTAAATATTTGTTGGATCAATGGACGAACTGAGAAAGTCCTGTCAAACCCAGTCTCTCACTCTACTCTGAGACCACAAGATTCCAGAAAACCGCTGTAAGAATGTTAAATAGAATCCCTCTTCCTTGGTCTTAACTATCCAGCATAGAAGTATCAAAATGAAGTATAAAAAGTAAAGCCATATTAATATGCTGAGCTATAAAAGGCTCAAGTCCACAACTTTTTTTTCCTTTTTGTTGGAACCAGTGATTGAACTCAAGCCTTTGCACTTGCCAGATAAGTGTTTTTTTCCACTGAGCCATCTCTCTGGCCAAGTCATCAACTTCTGTCATTGCCAGTCTTACGGAAAACCTACTACTAATTTGGACTCATAGACTACATTGGAATGCTTTGGTGAATTCAGTCACCTACAATATTTAAATTACAATGGAATACCCTTCTCTGACTAAACTAAATCAAAAATTGTGATACAGTTGATCAACCGTTTTGTATCTGTATGTTCAAAACAGTTAGGATAGATACATAGCTGCATTCTCTTGGATCATTGAATAGCGAGATTTGTTCTAATAGTGTTTGTGGACAGGATATCATGTCTGCATCTTGTACAATGAATAACCCTAAGACAACAATACACAGTGTATTAATACTTGAAACTGTCTCATTGCTATTTGTCTCTCAATAAAATTATTTTTTAAAAAAGAAAAAGAAAAAAAATCCCTCTTCTTGACTAGGGGCTTCTTTTTTTTTTTATTAATTTTATTTATTTATTTGTGTGTGTGTGGCCAGCTCAGGGGGCGGGGCTGGCTAGCATGTGGTACTGGGGGATCGAATCGTGGTCCCTGTGCTTTGCTAAGCTTGTTCTAAGTAGGTGCTTTAGACCACTGAGCCATCTCACCAGCCCTAGGGGCTTCTTTTGATCTTTATCTGTAGGATGTGGCATTCTGTGGCCTCCTCAAAGACAGTAGTTTGCCTTCCTGTTTTTAAATTGTTTCGTTTTAATCTGTTTTGCCATTTTTCCACATTATTCAGGTATTGGCTGGACTTGAAGTCCTCGGATATCATATGGAACATGTCAGACACAGGCTGGATCAAAGCTGCCATTGGTAGTGTGTTTTCTTCCTGGCTTCATGGTGCCTGTGTTTTTGTGCATCGGATGGCCCAGTTTGACACTGATACCTTCCTAAATGTAAGTCATGACCTCTGATTACATATAATCTTTAGAGTGCCTCCCTTCTCCCACCAGTCACAATTAACTGATTCCTAGTAATACAAGGCTGCTTGGGCTTCTGAAAGTCATTCATTTTTAAGAGGCAAACTCTGCAGGGACTTAGCTTTTGAGTTTATCTAACAGAGTGGAAGGGAATTAACCAGTACACTCTGGTTCAAATCTCCCAGGATTTGTTAGGGTTGCTAAATCTGTGGCTGTACAGGAGCCAGTTCTAAATAATAGGTTAGAAGCCTCAAATTTAAATAAATATTTTGTTTCTGATTAGTGAGGAAAAGCAAAACAGCGGATGACAAATCTGAACTGTATGCAGGAGACTTATTCTCTCCCTGTGCAGCTCTTTCCATGCTCCCCCACTCTATGCTTCTTATTTTAATCTGAAGACCTCAATACTCTTTTTTTTTTTTTTTTTTTTGTGGAACCGGGGATTGAACTCAGGCCCTTGCACTTGCCAGGGAAGTGCTTATTCCACTGAGCCATCTCCCCGGCTCCAGAAGACCTCAATACTCTTCAGGAAACCAAGCACACACTTCCTTCTCAGCCACAGATGGCTAGACTGAGATATCTGATAACATTAGCTTTGAGAAAAATATGATTCAAGCTGATTACTTTTCAGCCATGAAAATCAATTAGGTTTAAGTACATATAAATAGGTGCCACACCTACGCGTGACTAAAAGCTAGGCTCAATCTATTGCTTTGCTAACTAGTCTGACAAGATGGGTTGAGGTTTTAAGAGAAATGTTTGGTAATATAAAAACTGGGATCACCACATCAGGTGTATAAAAAGACCTGAATATCAGTTAATTTTACACTTTTGAAATTTACATATGTGACAGAATATTTTTATTTTACAAAGATAATGTGTTAAGTACTATACAAACATCTACAGAATATATATATATAATCTTACTGAAAGTAATTAAAAACTAGGGAGCAGTTATGTGTAGTAGAAATACTCATTTATGGATTAAAAGTTATTCTTGACTATGACAATCTAGATAGCTTACACATACATACTTCTCCCAAATGCTTAAGTTTAAGGCAAATTATAATAGTTTATTGAGCACAGTGGAACTTGTTCTCCAGAAAACGGATCTCTAAACACTAGTGTTTCTCTGGATTTAAGATGTATGTCATTATTTGATTTAAAGAATTGGATGACATAATGTGTTCAGAAAATTTTGAAACATTAAGCAAAGGCCATCAAAAATGTCTACTTCAATATATTCTCAGTCAACTCAGAACTAAGCTCTTTAACAGAATAGTGCTGTACAGGTCCTGGTGGAGAATCTCAGACACACAGAGTCATTACTAAACAAGAATATATGGGGCCGGGGAGATAGCTCAGTAGAATAAGTGCTTGCCTGACAAGCACAGGGTCCTGAGTTCAATCCCTGGTTCTGAAAAAAAAAAAGAATATATGGGCAGGTGTTACAAGTTTCTATCACAAAGGTAACGTGAATACCTTTTTTTTTTTTTTTTTTTTTTTTTTTTTTTTTGTGGTACTGGGGATTGAACTCAGGACCCTGAGCTTGCTAGGCAAGTGCTTATTCCACTGAGATATCTCCCCGAGGCCCTCACAAAAGGTAACATGAATAAACTAGTTTATATTTATTGTTCTCAAATTCAACAATTCAGTTGAATGTCTGTTTCTGGAACATTATATATATATATATATATATATATATATTCCCCCCACCCAGTAACTAGAAGTTTCTAACAGTGTCAAGTGGTGCATATAGTATTTGCATTCTTACTCCTAGCAGTGATCATGAGATGAGCAAGTACTCAAGGGAGACAATGAGAAACTGTAGACATCAGTTCTACTCATGACTTTCAATGACCGCTTCTGACATCTCTGTCTTTCTCCACAATCCAGACGCTTACCACCTATCCTATCACCCACCTATGCAGTGCACCCACCGTGTACCGGATGCTTGTGCAGAAAGACCTTAAGAGGTATCTGGGCAGAAATCTCCACTGGAACAAATTGAAGCAATCATCCAGCATCACAGATCCTGGGGTTCCCAGTGTCTCTACTATTGACATTTGGAACAAATAATTCTGTGTTGTGGGGGGCACCCTATACTTTGTAGGATACTGAACTGCATGCCAACTAGATACCAGTAGCATCTCCCTCATTTATGATAATCAAAAATGTCACATGGGGGACAAAACTATCTCCCAGTTTAAGAACCACTGGAATATTCTCTAGGAAAAACTAGATATTTTCTTGGAGACAATCAGAGCTCTATAGTGCTATAGACAGTCACAGCTTAGAACTTCCACTCAAAAAATTTGTCCTTTCATATCATGCTTAAAGAAACACTGTCATTTAGAATCAGGTCCCTCAAAACAAAACAAAATAAAAACAACAACAACACTCACATTGTCTTGAAGAAAACTTAATGAAGCTTAGGACTGGAAGGTTATATTGAATTTATTTAAACTACTTGCCTAACCTATAGAGGCTGGGTACTGCAATGTCTAGAGACTTGGATAGAACAATGTAACTAATTTAAATTCAATGCATAAAAAGAGAAACAATTTTAGTCAGACAGCTTATCCAACTTTCTTTCCCACAGGTAGGGGTGCCAGGAGGGAAAGTGCTAGGAAAAACAGAAACAGATAGAAATTTCCTCTTTTCCTAGTCAATGTCAACTCCTTATAGCCCTCAAAATGTGGAAATCTTGCTCAAGAATAATTCAAAAAATAATTCAAAGCTACTCAAGGATTGTTTTTTTTAAATGTATTTGGGGGGCTGGTGAGATGGCTCAGTGGTCTAAAGCACCTACTTAGAACAAGCTAAGCTAAGCAAAGCACAGGGACTGCATGCCAGCCAGCCCCCGCCCCCTGGTGGGCTGAGCTGGCCACACACACACAAAATAAATAAATAAATAAATAAATAAATAAATAAATATTTTTTTAAAATATTAAAAATAAATAAATAAATGTATTTGGTACAGGGTCTCACTACACAGCTCAGACTTGTAGTGATACTCTAGTTTTCAGCCTCCCCAGTGTTGGGATTTCAGACGTGCACCACCATTCCTGATCTCACACCTGATCTTGTTGGCAGAGTCAGCATGCCTGGGGGCGGGGCCAGCATGGCATGTGGTGCTGGGGATCGAACTGGTCCCTGCACTTGCCTAAGCAGGTGCTTAGTCCGATGAGCTACCTCAGTGGCCCTCAAGGGTTCTTTTGATTACACATGATTCATGTGCTACTGACACCCTCCTGCCAATTTGGGACCTTACTGATAGAAGTCAGGCTTTCCCAGGGCTTCTTGCCTGACTCAAGCACCAAAGTCAAATAGGCTGAGATTTGTTACTTACTAACAGTGTGACCTCAGACACTTAAGATGACCTTGTCAAACCTCCATCAACTCCACATGTAAGACAGATTAAGTGACATGCTTGGTGAGATCAGCCTGCCAAGTGTAAGTGCACAGCACAGAGCACACAATTCAGCCATGGGCCTTGGGCAAATTTTTTCACCCCTCTAAGCCTTGACTTCCATATCTGTAACAGGGGTTGTAAGGATTCTAAAGTCCTTTAGAGACTTTACCTGTGCCTAATCAAAGTTATTATACTGTTTCTCTTAGGTACTTAGTATAATCATTAGTATTTTCTTCTGCCTTATTCTTCCTGTAATAGCTAAATTCTCCATCTGCCAAAATGTAAGCTCATTCAGGAAACTTTTGTTTCCATCACTAATGTGCCTCACATGACCAGAATATCATCCCACTTGCCAGCAGGCGCTTATGCCACTGAGCTATAGCCTCAACCCTGTTTTGGTTTTTCCTTGAATGTCTTAATTATCTTGCAGTGAAAGCCCTTCATATTTCTTCCTCAAAGACCATATGCAGTTCTCTTTTTCCAGATACAAATTCAAGAAGCTGAGGCACTGCTTGACTGGAGGGGAGCCGCTCAACCCGGAGGTGCTGGAACAGTGGAAGGAGCAAACAGGGCTGGAGCTGTATGAGGGCTATGGACAGACAGAAGTGGTACAATTAAAGGGCAAAGTTTAGGTTTAGGAGAGCTGTCCTCAGTATCTGGGGGGAAACTGGTTTTAGGACCTCAAATGATCTCCAATCCTGGGATGCTCAACTACTTTACATAAAATGTCATGGTATTTGTATGTAGTCTATATCATATGTTACCTAATATAATATAAATACTATCCAAATAGTTGTAGCCTCATGGTGTTTAGAAATGATGACAAGAAAAAAATACCTGCATCAATGTAATACAGGTGAAATTTTTTTCCCAAATATGTCTCATCTTCAGTTAATTGAATTCAAGCATGTAGAACCCACAGATGGGAGGAGCTATTTGTATACTAGGGACTGTCAAGGAAGCCCCTAACGTGTCCCCCATCATGTAATACATTTTTATGGAATCATAGAATACCTTGTCAGTGTTTATCAAAATTTATGGATTAAGTTAGGCATGGTGGTGCATACCTGTAATTTCAGCACTCAGGAGGCTGAGGCAGGAAGATTGCCACAAGTTTTGGGCTAGCCTTGGTTGTATAGTGAGTTCAAGGACAGCCTGAACTACATAGCAAGACCATGTCTCAAGAAAACAAAATAAATTTGTGGACTGTGCTGTTCGTCTTAGTTGAAAGGAAATTGTGATTACTCCATAGTCTTCCTGCTTCCTCCTCACCTAGGAGAAATCTCAGCAGTACTAGGAGTTGGTGAGAGTCAAAACTAAACTACACAACTTTCCATTGCACTGGGAAGGACTCCCTGGGTGCCTCTGTAGGTAATTAATTCCATAGCACATATGACAGAATCTAAAAGGAGTAGTTTTTAAAGTGTGGTCCTCACACTAGCAGTATCACAATCATTTGGTAATTCTCAAATCTCACTCCACATCAGTTGGATAAGAAGCTTCTGCATGAGATCTAGACATCTGTATTTTAACAGGTGATTCTGATGTAGACCCAAGTTGGAGAACTACTGCCCAAATCTTAATTTCATTCTCATGATATAACTAGCTTCAAAAATCTAATTTTTACATACTTATATACATGTCCTCTCAACAGGGAATAATTTGTGCCAACCAGAAAGGCCAAGAAATTAAACCTGGCTCTATGGGAAAAGGAGTATTACCCTACAATGTCCAGGTGGGTTAAGAAAATATCTGAGTGGGTTAATGAAGAAGGGAGAGGAAGGGGTGGAGGCACATGCCTACAATCCTAGCACTCTGGGAGGAGAGGCCGGAGAATTACAAATCTAAACCCAGCCTGGGTGATATAGTGATATAATGAGACCATGCCTTGAAAGAAAAAATGAAAAAGGCCAGAGATATAGTTCATTATGAAGGGCCTTGGTTAAATCCCTCATGCCAAAAAGGAAGAAAAGGAAGAGGGGGACATTTTTATACCCTTCTATGCAACTGTTTATTACCTATTTTAATTTTGTGAGAAAAAACCTAAGAATCTAAATTGTTTTATCCTAGGTTATAGATGAAAAGGGCAATATCCTACCACCTGGCAAAGAAGGGGATATTGCAATCAGACTGAAGTCTACCCGGCCTTTCTGTTTCTTCTCTGAATATGTGGTATGAAAATATAGAAATTGATGGGCATACTTTAGCCCAGACATTGATCTAAATTTCATGCCTACTGTGACTTGCTACATATAAGTCAGGGGAACTGATGGAAACCTGGGCCGTTTCATCAACTGTAAAAATGGGGAAAATAATATCTATTTCCCAAACATTTAATCTGTGAAGATTAAATTCCACAAGTAAGAAACAGGCTGGAGTGCTGTTCTCAGAATGGACAGGCTGGGAGAAGGGGGAAGGGCATAGAGGATGCAAGAGGTTAGAGAGAGGTTTAGTTTTTAAATACGCTTTTAGACCTTTTTTTTTTTTTATTTTAGGCTAGGAAAAAAGAGAATAACTTCAGTTGAGTGTGGTGGTGCATGCCTGTAAAATCCTAGTACTCAGGAGGTTGTCAGGAGGATTGCCACAAGTTTGAGGCCAGCCTGAGCTAAATAGTGAGTTCAAGGCCAGCCTTGACTACACATCAAGACCTGTCTTAACCACAAACACAAAATAACAAAAACTTCATTTAGAAGATGTTGCAATGTGACAGTCATTTAATGGATACCAGACCTCGTCTCTTTTCTGCACAAACTAATTCCCAAATGTCATCCTCATTTCCTAGGACAATCCAGAGAAAACTGCTGATACAATAAGAGGAGACTTTTATGTCACTGGAGACAAAGGCCTGATGGACAGAGATGGGTATTTCTGGTTTGTTGGCAGAGCTGATGATGTCATTATATCCTCTGGGTTTGTACACTTGCTATGCCTAGAAGCAGCAACTTGGAAGGAAGGGAGACTTCCCACTTGGAGAGTGTAGTGAGCAGGCTTCTCTCTCCACAGGTATCGTATCGGGCCCTTCGAAGTGGAGAGTGCACTCATTGAGCACCCAGCAGTGGTCGAATCAGCTGTTGTCAGTAGTCCAGATCCAATTCGAGGAGAGGTAGGTGCACATCACTGATCAAAACAGCAATTCCCTATTTTCAAGTTCTGTTTGACCACTGTAAAGATGAAATCTAGAACATAGTCATTTAATTTTCACTATGAGGCACATATGTCAAAAATGTAGACTAGGAAGTCAACTTTACAAATGAGTTGTATCCCAAAGGTGATTGGGATTCTGTTGGTAACTGGACACAAACTCAACTCAAATTGACTTAAATTATTTTTTTAAATGTTGCGCTCATATAACAGAGGTATTTAGGTACATCTCTATCCAAGTGTTCACGTGAAGTTAGCATCCCTTAGTCTCTCTGTGTTTGGCTCTGCTGTCAACCCTATGTGAGCAGGTCCTTTCTACTTGATAGCAACCAACTCCACATTCTCCAGGAAAGGAGAAAGCTGACTTTCCAAGAATTCTGAGGAACTCCCAGGATCTCCTTTGTTTATCTCAAGTCACATCTCTAGCCAGAGTGGCCCAGGAAATAGTACAGGTAACTGGCCAGACCTGGATCATAGCCTCTCCTTAGAGGTAAGGCTTGGTGTCAACTCACTAGAGAGAAATTAGGGTAGCACTTCACAGGAAACCTAAGAGTCCTGTTACTGAAAAGTAGGAACAGATACTGCATTCAGCATCAGATTTCACTGTCTGTACAACTGCCATGATTGACAAAATACATTTACTTACAGAAGCAATGCAAAAAAAAGATTGTGGCCAAGTTCCCAAGTTGGTCCCACAAGCACCTTAATTAGGACATAATGACAATATTACTCAGGCAATGACAACAGTCTTGAGTCTAGGAGGAAACTATATGCTAAGGAAAGGAAAAATCTACTTTCCTTATGGAAGTTTCCTGCAGACTCAGCAAGTAAAAAAAATCTTAAAATTGTGCACATCAATACCCTTCCACATTTCCTGGCCTTTCTCTCACATACCCGTGGTTGGTCCTCTGAGGAGCACCGTGGATCCCATATGCTTACCTCCTGTACCCCCTCAATTTTCCATGTAATTCCATTCTCCAAAATATTCTTTTGCCACCATATTCTCATTCTCTCCATATTGCAGATTTCAATAGAATACCAAAAGTAAACAGCAATTAGAAGCATTTGCATGAATGCTTACTAACCTCAATAATTATCTAATTCCTTCAACCAGCATTACAAAGAAAAGGAAAGACTTGGAAGCAAGAAAGTCCCTTCTGAGCTACATCAATCTTTCCTTATAAGGGGCTGGGAAGATGGCTCAGTGGAATAAATGCTTCCCTGGCAAGCGCAAGTGCCTGAGTTCAATCCCTGCTTCCGCAAAAAAACCCCAAAACTTTCCTAACATACCACTCTTCCTCCACAAGACCACCCCAAATCCCCTTCACATCATACTATCCTGAGCTCCCATCACTCCTGCTCCTCAGACTTCCTCACATAGTATAGACTTGAAGGTGTATAGGGTCATCTGTCAATCAAAGACTGCCTGAATAGCAAACGGGATCAGATGGATTGACATGTAAAATATATAATATGTATAGATCAGCTACAAAAGAATCGGTGCACTCTTCACATTCACAGCCCACTTGTCTGGAAATAGATCCCCCTAAACCTCACTTTGTCCTTGTAGTGCCTGAGATGGCATTTGTAGTCATCACTGAAACTACTATGCACAGGTAAATCTTCTGTCCAACAATGACCCCTAACCCCACGTGTCTGCAGAATAAGCAGCAACACAGACTTTTCTGCTACAGGTCGTAAAAGCGTTCGTTGTCTTATCTGCACCCTACAAATCATCCAACCCTGAGAAGCTGATCCTTGAGCTTCAGGACCACGTGAAAAAATCAACTGCACCCTACAAATACCCAAGAAAGGCAAGTGTAAACTAGTTTTGTGCAGGGTGTAAATGCTAATTCTAAAAATGTAGGTTTTATTGGATTTTGACTTTATAGTCACTTAGTATGTAGGCATAAGATATCTTTTCAGTTTGTTTAGGCAAGAATTTTGCTTTAGAATGTTTTATATTTGGGCACTACAAATGCTTGATAAATGAACTTTCTAAAATCAACTCTGCAACAATGAGAAACTACTAAGTGCATAGTTCCATTTCATATAGGGACAAGGAATGTTGACAAAATATGAAATGTCTTATTTTCAGGGACAGCATCCAACTTTTAGCCCTCTTGACCATATAATATCCCTATAAATTTAAAAAAAGCACATGACTCAAGGGACCACATTATGACTCATGGGATCTTTCCTGAAATCTTCAAATAAGGATATAAAAGCAATTTTATACACAGAGATTACACTGGAGTTTCCTTCCATCTCTAGAATCCTATTGGGTGATGGTGACTAATCCTCTAAAAGATAATTCTGTCTTAGTTGGTATCACTTCAGTTAGAAGGTAGCTAATTTCAACCTAAAAATTAATTCAATCATTTTAGTTATTTTTCTCCACTAAACTAACAAAATCAGGAATCCTTTGATTTTCTTTTTTATTTATTTATTTATTTATTTATTTATGTGTGTGTGTGTGTGTGTGTGGCCAGCTCAGCCCACCAGGGGGCGGGGCTGGCTGGCATGTGGTGCTGGGGGATTGAACTGCAGTCCCTGTGCTTGCTTGCTTGCTTGCTTGCTTGCTTTCTTTCTTTCTTTCTTTCTTTTTTTTTTTTTTTTTTTTTCGGAACCGGGAATTGAACTCAGGCTCTTGTGCTTGCCAGAGAAGCACTTATTCCACTGAGCCATCTCCCAGGCCCCCTAAAGATGAATGAATGAATGAATGAATGAATGAACGAATGAATAAAACCCAGTTTGGTTTACTATTATTTTGTCCTTTTTTGGTTTTTTTTGGTGGAACCGGGGGTTGAACTCAGGCCCTTGCGCTTGCCAGGGAAGCGCTTATTCCACTGAGCCATCTCCCCAGCTCAGTCCCTGTGCTTTGCTAAGCTTGTTCTAAGTAGGTGCTTTAGACCACTGAGCCATCTCACTAGCCCATCCTTTGATTTTCATAAATGAAGTCTGAGGACAGTTAAAAGTACACAGTGTCAGCTTGACAGAGAGGAACAAAAACAGGATCTTAAGGTCAAGTCAGAGCATAAAGGGAAATTGTATGTACTCCAGATTATCACTAAAATACCTCCTTCAGAATCTGCACGACCCGCTTTCACTCATTTATTTGTTCATTCATTTATTCATACTTGAAACTGTGATCCTCTTGACTCAGTGTCCCAGAGAGCTGGAATTACAAGTATCCAGCAAGGATCAGCTATTTTTTCTTTTTGAGTTGTGTAAACCTCCATCCCCCAGAGGGCAGTAGAGGTCCAGGTTTAGACAAGGAAAAGCAAAGAGGTAAAGCAATTCTTTCCTTTTGGCAGAACACATGAGTGAATTAGCACTAAAAACTGCTAGGATGGAACTACACGTATATCATCCTTACTATAGGAATCGACCGAGTTTCTTGTGCTCACTAGAGTCAATGAATTTAAGCTAAGATGATGCTCACATATAAAATTCAACATTTCACAAGAGCTGTTTCCAATGTCATTGAGCTGGGATAGTCCAATGGAACCAAGTGCCTTACAGTAAGTTTCTTTCTTTTTCTTTTTTGTCAATTAGGTGGAGTTTGTTCAAGAACTTCCAAAGACAATCACTGGGAAAATTAAACGCAACGTTTTAAGAGACCAAGAATGGGGACGAATATAGCTTGATAAGAAAAGTGAAAACTAAATAGTAACATGGTTTTCTTTTAGCACTTGCTTGATACTTCAGTGACTGATTTTTTAATGTTAAAATTAAAAATCTGAGTTTTTGTTTTCCACTTAGCTAAAAAGACCCACTTTAAACATATTTGAGAATATTGTTACAGTGACAAATTAGCCAAGGTAATGACTTGTAGTGTTTAAAATAATGGGGATACAATGATTAAACAAGGGCGGTCTACAATGGATCTCTGTTGCATTTCCCTTGTCCTGAATAATATAAAGATAAGAAATATTCTAAAAGAAATGATGAAAACAGAATTTCTTTTACTGAACATCTTATGATCTGTCAATACTTTTAAGAGCTTATGATGAATATACTGTTAACTCAAAGGCCAGTGAGTAAATTTAATGAAATTAACCACTATATTTTTCCTTGTTTTAGAGCAAATCCTGTAAAATATTAGAAATTCTGGATTATTTAGGAATATTCAATATTCAAGAGAAATTAGTAATTTTAATAGCTTTATTTTTTAGGGTCACACACATGACTTTTTTGATACATAATTTGACATGTAAACTTTTTTTTTGTTTTTACTAGAGTCTCAAAAACAATTGTATTCCAGGCTAGCCTCAAACTCACAGCAATCCTGCCTCAGCCTTCAAGTGCTGGGATTACAAGCATGTGCCACCATGTCCAGCCTGACATAAAAACATTTTTAATGATACATACACTATAAAGCCAGAAATCTGCTAAGAGGCAGAAAGACAAGGTGCAAAACAACAATCTTTTTTTTTTTTTTTTGCGGAACCAGGGATGGAACTCAGGCCCCTGCGCTTGCCAGGGAAGCACTTATTCCACTGAGCCATCTCCCCGGCCCAAAACAACAATCTTTAGGGAACAACTTTATTTTGATTTTTCTCAAAATATCAGGATCTATAAGAAAAAAAAGCTGTACCAAGAGCAAAGTACAAACAAAAATAACACCTGAAAATTGGGTCTAACCTTAGAGAAAAGTGTTTTTTATTAAGTTTAATCCTATTTTCTTTAGAGTAAACCAAGCTCATAACTCATAACAAACTGTATAGCTGCTATAATTTTAATTAAAACACCGAAAAAACACGATAGTTTCTACCCTCTTTCATCATTCATAATATGCTCAAGTGTTATAGCTGATATACCCAGAAGCAAATCTTCAAATGAATAAATGCAGATTTTAATAGAGCATAGTATTTAAGTTGGGAACAACAGTTTATGTCACTCAGATCTTACCACATACAAATAAATACAAGTGCCAAGTATAAATAATACAATCACAATCTTTCTATGGAGTAGCAGCTTCACAAAGCAGAAATTCAGATACATTAAATTTATTCCTTTTCTGCCTCTTAGCAGATCTCTTGCTGTGTTAAAAATATTTTCATGTCCTTTTGTCTTACACTATCAAAATAAAGTTTGTCTTAGAACATGTATGAAGAAGGCAACAAGATCCTTCCTATCCTCCCAAATGATACTAGTTAATAGTTCTATCTTTTCAATATGACTTCAACATCATTAAGGGTCAACATTCTGGGAAGGGTACAGTAGCACACACCTATAAGCCCAGCTACTTGAGACTCTGAGGCAAAAGGATCACAAATTCAAGGCCAGCCTAGATAATTTATTGAGTCTCAAAATAAAAAAGCAAGGGATGTGGTTCAGCGGTACAAGGGTTGCCTGGAACATACAAAGCTCTGAGTTCATCCCCACAAAAAGAACTGTTGTAAATATCTGAAGATACCCGAGGAAGTACCAGTCCTAGATGTTACCAAGGTTGTATGTACTCTCTACCTCTCCCAAATTCTAGTCTGATTTACCATCAGTTTCTCATAAAGGGTAAAAATGTTCATATATGTCATTAAATTGACATAGTCACTTGAACAGGAAGCTGTAACATTTACACTGCTTCCCAACTTTTAAAAATGTAAAAAA